GAGAAGATGAGGTCAGGGAGGGAAAGGTACAGTATAAACCTTTATGATGAATATTTTATTTATTTACCACACGTTTCTTGAACATCAACTAGTTGCCAGTCATTTAGTTAGGCACTGAAATATATTAATGGACATAATCTCTAATGTCTTCACACTCAAGAGTTTATATTCCAGTAGGGGAAGAAAGAAACACACACACCCCAATAAATAAATACACATATACATACGTACATACATATGTGCATACATACATACTTCAGATTGGGCTATGAGGAAAATAAAGCAAGGTAAAACACTAGAGAGTAACTTAGAAGGGAGAGGTAGTTTATATATAGTGTGTTTTTTCTGAAGAGGTGATATTTGAGCAGAGACCTGAATGATGAGAATGAAACAGCCATGTGAAGATCTTAGGAAAGATCCTCCCAGTCAGAAAAGGAGAGAAAAGAAGGCGATGCAAAGACCTCGGGTCAGGAATGAGCTTGGCAAGTTTGAGGACAAGACCAGTGTTCCTGGACATGATGAGAGAGGGGAATGAGAAGCTAAGGTTAGAGAGGAAAGCGGGCAGGGCCTTGAAGGCCAGCATAAGCAGTTTTGCTTTTATTCTAGTGTCAGTGAAAAGGCACTGATAGGCTGTAAGCAGGTACATGATAAAATCATTTACTTTTCACAAGATCTCTGTGACTTTCTATGGAGAGTGGACTGTGGGGACATATAAATGGAAAAGAGAGGTAAGAGGCTACTATAGGAATCCAGATGATAAATAAAAATTGCGTGAACCACAGTGGCAGCAGGGATGATGGGAAGAAATTGATGAGTTCAAAATACGTTTTGGGGCTTCCCTGGTGGCACAGTGGTTAAGAATCCGCCTGCCAACACGGGACATGGGTTCGAGCCCTGGTCTGGGAAGATCCCACATGCCGTGGAGCAGCTAAGCCCATGCACCCCAACTACTGAAGCCTGTGCTCTAGAGCCCACGAGCCACAACTACTGAGCCCGTGTGCCACAACTACTGAAGCCCGTGTGCAGTAGAGCCCATGCTCTGCAACAAAAGAAGCCACTGCAATGAAAAGCCCGTGCACTGCAACGAAGAGTAGCCCCCGCTCACCACAACCAGAGAAAAGCCCACGCGCAGCAATGAAGACCCAATGCAGCCAAAAAATAAAATAAAATAAATGTATTAAAAAAATATATGTTTGGACAGAAGAACTTGTACGATTTCCAAAGGTTAGAACAGAGAGTGAGAGTGACTCCCTAGCTTTTGAGTTGATCACTTTGGTGAGTGCTGGAACCATTTATCAAGATGAAAACACATGGTGGAACAACAGGTTTCAGGGGTCACGAGAAGGAATTTGAATGTTATTCTAAATGCATTGGTAGTCTAGGGATGGTTTGAAGTGGTGGCGGTGATATAATTCAATGTATACTCTAAGAAGATCATTTTTGTTGCTCTGTAGTGAATGAGCAAAAAGAAAGGGAAGCAAGGATGATGCCTCAGTGACTGGCTTGAGTAACTGGAAACTTTCCATTTTCCAAAAGCAGAGAGAACTGAAAAGGTGTACAAGTACAAAGAAGAATTCAATTGGGGAATTAAGGGATATGAGATGTCTATGAAGGACTAAGTGGTGCTGACAAGTGCTGCTGGAGATGTGTGCCCAAGACTTACTTGGAGAGGTCTGGGTCAGATATATAAATTTTGGAGTCATCAGCATAAAGATGTTATTGAATTTGATGTGTATGGGTAAGATCATTTAGGGATGTATTTTAAGAAAAGAAGGGGAGAGGGGCCATAACCAAGTCTTAAGAGTCATCGACATTTAGAATAAGGTAGAAAAGAAACAACAACAAAGTGTCCTGAGAAGCAGGTTATTGGAACAAGTACATATACTTTGAAATTAATTCTATATAAGGAGACAGATTGATTATTAAGGGGAGAGAAAATGACTCAGTTAATTAGGTCTTGGAGCAAGTGAAAGGTGATGGGGATGTGCTTTGTATCTTTCTTTTTGTCCCTCCAGATTCATTCTTTACTCTTCTTCACTCTCTCAGGAGGGTGACTTGTGCGAATCACATTAATAGACTGCTGTACCCTCTGACTTTTGATTGGTTTTGACTAATGGGAAGCCCCAGAAGGAGATCAAAGGAAGGGAAGACAGCAAGGTCATGGTTTCTATCCTCATGGATCCCTCCTGTAGTTGCCTTATACTGCTTATATTTCTCAACTGAATATCACTGTTCTGCTCAAAGTGGCATCCTGTGTTGGGACCCTGACTGATAAAAGAATCAGGACGTAAGTGTAGAGATTGGTCCAATAAGCACAGGGCCAATTCCTCCATAGCAATAGACAAAGGAAAGAGAAAATGAGCACAGATAAATGGCTCTGGTGGGTTTTGTGGTCTGAAGGTAAAGGTATCACATGTGATTGCTTTTAATTTCTTGCTGAGGTAATTAACTGAGTATTAGAGTGGGAAGCTGTAAGTATAAAGAAAAATGGATAAAATGTTCATCTCATAGAGTTGGAAATGGATACTACCATAAAATGTTTAAGGATATTAAATTTAGGTGTAAACAGTTAGCAGTGTTCTACTCTTCAGGAGTAGGCATGGGAAAGACAAAAAGTTGTTTCCATAAGGCATGGTTTTGTAAAGCCGAATACCCCAGCACAAGACGGGCAAAGGGCATGAGAATGCATGTAGTATAGAAATTATACTAGTGGACCAAGGGATGTCGGGCTGACAGTGAAGTGAGGAAGGGGTTGATAGATAATGGCAAAATGTGGAGATCACTGTGTTAGAGGTCTTTATGGAACTGAAGAATTGTAGGCATGTGTGTGATTGAACTATGAGTTGGATTAATGGGCTGTTAGAAATCCTGATTCAGAGGTATATCATTTTCTGAGAAATGCAGAGTGCAGTTTTGATCATGGGGGAGAGGGAGGCTAAATGAGAGAAGGATTTGGCAATGAGGAGGTAAAAGGACTGAGTGTGACCATGCTGATCCAAATGGATTTTGAATACAATAGAGAAGGTTGATAAGATTTGGAAGAGAGAAAAATTGTCATCCAGTTGCTAAAAATTAGAAAAATAAAGGCTTCTCTTCACACTTATCCCACAGATCTTAGTAAATCTTCTGATTCAAATTTCATTGGATAACAGCAATTGTAAAGAGAGAGCCGGGTGTAGGAGGGTGGCATGAACCTCAGGGAAGCAAAGATTATCTCAGGAGGCAGGGGAAGAAATGGTCTGGGGCCACAGTGAGGGGCAAGGGAAGGCACCAAATGTGCTTCTGTCCCTGAGGGGTGTGGGGGTGACACTGAAGAGAGTCTCTGGGACAGAGGATATAGTTCAGTAAGGCAGGAATGAAAGGGACATTCCAAAAATTGCATGAAGATGTGGAACAAGGTGCTGACCTTTGAGCAGGACTTCTTTCCCACAGTGGAACATCAGAAGAGCAGGAAACTGATCAAGCTAGAGTGTGCATGAAACAGTAGGATTAGGCCAGGTCAAAGGATATGGGAAGAAAGATGGAATTAGCCTTGTATCTGAGATGAGTATGAGTGAGCTGACACATTGCTGTTTGTCCAAAACTCCTTTAGGTATTATGGCCCTCATGAGATGACTGTTGTTCTCCCGGGGTTGGGAGGAGGGTGATTGCATTGCTAGATGGACTGGCATGGCAGCCTCCTAAGCTTTTTCACTTTGCATTGTCTTTCTCTAAGAGAGAAGCTTCCAGAGGTTTTGCCCATTGTCAAATAGTAAGTAGTAGAGCCAATTGCACCCTGGTTTAGTTACAGGACAATCTGTCACACCATGCTTCACCCACTCCCAATAAAATATGCTAATACATGGATTCTCTTACCCCTTAGTTAAACATATAATCTTTAATAGGGCCTTGCAGAGCCTTACAAGCAAGGTTCCTCACTTGGCTCTTCATCCTTACCTTGTTCAACTAGTTCCCTCACATACTGGATGTGACTTCAATCATATTGATGGCTGTTGTCCTCATCCCTAGGCGCTCTAGTATCATATTGATCTCAGGCTTTTTACTGCTGTGGCCTTGTCCTGACATGCTCTTCTTTCAGATTTTCAAATGGCTAGACTCCTTCTCATCTTTTAGGTTCTAGTGCATGTTTCATCTCCTCAGAAAAGGTTTCCAGACATATTACTCAATTCTGTCTTATCTTCTCTTATCTTGCCAAGTACCTTGATGTCATTCAATATCTTATTGCCCTAGTTTATGTTTTTATACAATTTATCAGCATCAGAAGTAATGTGTTCTGGTCGTTTAGGCATTTATTATTGTTTTCTTCCCCTATATCATGAACTTCATTTCTCAGGGATTTCTCATTTATATAGAGGAGGGCTGGCTCATAGTATAGTAGGCTCCATAAAATCTTGTTGGATGAATAAGCATAAGTACTTGATAAACATTAGTTTCTTCTATATTCTAAAGTAAGCTACTACTTTTTCTCTTATAATTATAGTAGTTGTAATTTTCATGGTTCTTAGAACAAAATGAGATCATGTATATAAAAGTCCCTAATTCAGTTCTAAGCACATGATAGGCAATTAGGTAATGACTTTTTTTTCATTCTTTTATCAATAAACCTCACTGAAACAGCACACCAGAAATTAATTATATGGTATAATTCAGATTGGGGTATTGTAATCATAGTGAAATTATGTCTTAGTTTTATACATTGTATAGTATATACCTCATTATATATTATTTATTATATGTGATATAAGATGTGGTATAAGATATATATCATTTTTATTATATAGTTGTGGCAAAGTTATATTTAAATATTCTCTTGTGAGACCCAAGTATTCCCAAAGTAATCTGCCTTATTAGTGTTTCAAACTATATTAATTACAATTAGAAGAAAATAAAATTGACTTCTAAATTAAAGTGAAATTTTCTATCTTGTAAGAAACTTATAATTGTGATAGTAAGTTTCATGATTAACTGACACTTCCTACCTTCATGTTCGCTGTTTCCAGGAAGAACCCTATGTCCTGTTTAAGAAGTCTGACAAACCTCTTTATGGAAATGATCGATTTGAGGGCTATTGCATTGACCTCCTCAGAGAGCTATCTACAATCCTTGGCTTTACATATGAAATTAGACTTGTGGAGGATGGGAAATATGGAGCCCAGGATGATGCCAATGGACAATGGAATGGAATGGTCCGTGAACTAATTGATCATGTAAGTCCCTTTTCTCATTATTTATTAACTTTGGAAGATTTCTAATAGATTTACTTTTTTTTTTTTTTTTTTTTTGATGGTCAGGGGTTAATAATGTCAGAGAACAGTAATGTATTTTAAGTAGTTATTTTTTTCAATAATGTTATTAAAAGTATATATTATTTCTGACAAATACACAGGATGTAAGGGATGTATATAGTTCTATTAGAAACAAATGTCTGTCTTAAATTAACTAGTAGTTAGTGATTTAATATCTTGAAGTATTTGGTCCTAATTTATAAAATGGAATGTGGTTTTTTTTTTATTTAACATCTTTATTGCAGTATAATTTAATTGCTTTACAATGTTGTATTAGTTTCTGCTGTACAGCAAAGTGAATCAGCTGTACATATACATATACCCCCATATCCCATCCCTCTTGCATCTCTCTCCCACCCTCCTATCCCACCCCTCTAAGTGGTCACAAAGCACCACTGCTGCTGCTTCCTACTAGCTATCTATTTTACATTTGGTAGTGTATATATGTCAGTGCTACTCTCTCACTTCGTACCAGCTTACCCTTCCCCCTCCCCGTGTCCTCAAGTCCATTCTCTATATCAGCGTCTTTATTCCTGTCCTGCCCCTGGGTTTGTCAGAACGATTGTTTTTTTTTTGTACATTCCATATATATGTGTTAGCATACAGTATTTGTTTTTCTCTTTCTGACTTAGTTCACTCTGTATGACAGACTCTAGGTCCATCCACCTACTACAAGTAACTCAGTTTTGTTTCATTTCTTTTTATAACTAATATTCCATAGTATATATGTGCCACATCTTCTTTATCCATTCATCTGTTGATGGATACTTAGGTTGCTTCCACGTCCTAGCTATTGTAAATAGTGCTGCAATGAATATTGTGGTACCTGACTCTTTTTGAATTATGGTTTTCTCAGGGTATATGCCCAGTGGTGGGATTGCTGGGTCATATGATAGCTCTATTTTTAGTATTTTAAGGAACCTCCATACTGTTCTCCATAGTGGCTGTATCAATTTCCATTCCCCACAACGGTGCAAGAGGGTTCCCTTTTCTCCACAACCTCTCCAGCATTTATTGTTTGTAGATTTTTTGATGTTGGCCATTCTGACTGGTGTGAGGTGATACCGCAATGCAGTATTGATTTGCATTTCTCTAATGATTAGTGTTGTTGAGCATCCTTTCATGTGTATGTTGGCAGTCTGCATATCTTCTTTGGAGAAATGTCTATTAAGGTCTTCTGCCCATTTTTGGATTGGGTTGTTTTTTAAATATCAAGCTGCATGAGCTGTTTATATATTTTGGGGATTAATCCTTGATCCGTTGATTCATTTGCAAATATTTTCTCCCATTCTGAGGGTTGTCTTTTGGTCTTGTTCATGGTTTCCTTTGCTGTGCAAAAGCTTTGAAGTTTCATTAGGTCCCATTTGTTTATTTTTGGTTTTAGTTCCATTACTCTAGGATGTGGATCAAAAAAGATCTTGCTGTGATTTATGTCAAAGAGTGTTCTTCCTATGTTCTCCTCTAAGAGTTTTATACTGTCCGGTCTTACATTTAAGTCTCGAATGCATTTTGAGTTTATTTTTGTGTATGGTGTTAGGGAGTGTTCTAATTTCATTCTTTTACATGTAGCTGTCCAGTTTTCCAGCACCACTTATTGAAGAGACTGTCTTTTCTCCATTGTATATCCTTGCCTCCTTTGTCATAGATTAGCTGGTCATAAGTGTGTGGGTTAACCTCTGCACTTTCTATCTTGTTCCGTTGATCTATGTTTCTGTTTTTGTGCCAGTACCATATTGTCTTGATTACTGTAGCTTTGTAGTATAGTCTGAAGTCAGGGAGTCTGATTCCTCCAGCTCCATTTTTTTCCCTCAAGACTGCTTTGGCTATTCGGGGTCTTTTGTGTCTCCATACAAATTTTAAGATTTTTTTGTTCTAGTTCTGTAAAAAATGACATTGGTAATTTGATAGGGATTGCATTGAATCTGTAGATTGCTTTGGGTAGTATAGTCATTTTCATAATATTGATTCTTCCAATCCAAGAACATGGTATATCTCTGCATCTTTTGGTATCATCTTTAATTCCTTTCATCAGTGTCTTATAGTTTTCTGCATACAGGTCTTTTGTCTCCCTAGGTAGCTTTAGTCCTAGGTATTTTATTCTTTTTGTTGCAGTGGTAAATGGGAGTGTTTCCTTAATTTCTCTTTCAGATTTTTCCTCATTAGTGTATAGGAATGCAAGAGATTTCTGTGCATTAATTTTATATCCTGCAACTTTACCAAATTCATTGATTAGCTCTAGTAGTTTTCTGGTGGCATCTTTAGGATTCTCTATGTATAGTATCATATCATCTGCAAACAGTGACAGTTTTACTTCTTCTTTTCCAATTTGTATTCCTTTTATTTCTTTTTCTTCTCTGATTGCTGTGGCTAGGACCTCCAAAACTATGTTGAATAACAGTGGTGAGAGTGGACATCCTTGTCTTGTTCCTGATCTTAGAGGAAATGCTTTCAGTTTTTCGCCATTGAGAATGATGTTTGCTGTGGGTTTGTCATATATGGCCTTTATTATGTTGAGGTAGGTTCCCTCTATGCCCACTTTCTGGAGAGTTTTTATCATAAATGGGTGTTGAATTTTGTCAGAAGGTTTTTCTGCATCTATTGAGATGATCATATGGTGTTTATTTTTCAGTTTGTTAATATGGTGTATCACGTTGATTGATTTACGTATATTGAAGAATCCTTGCATCCCTGGAATAAATCCCACTTGATCATGGTGTATGATCCTTTTAATATATTGTTGGATTCTGTTTGCTAGTATTTTGTTGAGGATTTTTGCATCTATATTCATCAGTGATATTGGTCTGTAATTTTCTTTTTTTGTAGTATCTTTGTCTGGTTTTGGTATCAGGGTGATGGTGGCCTCATAGAATGAGTTTGGGAGTGTTCCTTTCTCTATAATTTTTTGGAAGAGTTTGAGAAGGATCGGTTTTATCTCTTCTCTAAATGTTTGATACAATTCACCTGTGAAGCCATCTGGTCCTGGATTTTTGTTTGTTGGAAGATTTTTTTTTTTTTTTTTTTGCAGTATGCGGGCCTCTCACTGTTGTGGCCTCTCCCGTTGCAGAGCACAGGCTCTGGACGCACAGGCTCAGTGGCCATGGCTCACGGGCCCAGCCGCTCCACGGCATGTGGGATCTTCCCAGACCAGGGCACGAACCTGTGTCCCCTGCATCAGCAGGCGGACTCTCAACCACTGCGCCACCAGGGAAGATTTTTAATCACAGTTTCAATTTCATTACTTGTGATTGGTCTGTTCATATTTTCTATATCTTCCTGGTTCAGTCTTGGAAAGTTATACCTTTCTAAGAATTTGTCCATTTCTTCCAGGTTGTCCGTTTTATTGGCATAGAGTTGCTTGTGGTAGTCTCTTAGGATACTTTGCATTTCTGCGGTGTCTGTTATAACTTCTCCTTTTCATTTCTAATTTTACTGATTTGAGTCCTCTCCCTCTTTTTCTTGATGAGTCTGGCCAATGGTTTATCAATTTTGTTTATCTTCTCAAAGAACCAGCTTTTAGTTTTATTGATCTTTGCTATTGTTTTCTTTGTTTCTATTTCAGTTATTTCTGCTCTGATCTTTATGATTTCTTTCCTTCTGCTAACTTTGGGTTTTGTTTGTTCTTCTTTGTCTAGTTCTTTTAGATGTAAGGTTAGATTGTTTATTTGAGATTTTTCTTGCTTGTTGAGGTAGGCTTGTATAGCTATAAACTTCCCTCTTAGAACTGGTTTTGCTGTATCCCATAGGTTTTGGATCATGGTGTTTTCATTGTCATTTGTCTCTAGGTATTTTTTGATTTCCTCTTTGATTTCTTCAGTGATCTCTTGGTTATTTAGTAAGGTAGTTTTTAGCCTCCATGTGTTTGTGTTTTTTACATTTTTTCCCCTGTAATTCATTTCTAATCTCATAGCATTGTGGTCAGAAAAGATGCTTGATATGATTTCAGTTTTCTTAAATTTACTGAGGCTTGATTTGTGACCCAAGATGTGATCTTCTTAAATAATTCTGAAAGCTTTCCACTTCTCTCCATCTCCACAGTCACATGGATTAAATTCCCAATATGAGAATCTTCCCCTTTTAATCTGTTATCTAACTATATCATTCAACTAAAGTCTTGTTTCAGGAAGAGAAATCTGATCATGCCCCTCTTTTGCATAAAGTCTTTCAATAGTTTTCATTGTCCTAAGGATATAGGACCAACTCTATAATATATTTACAAGCCCTTCTACATTTGGTTATTGTTTCTCTCCTATGGAAATCTTTCTGACCCTTCAAATAGACTGTCAGACCTTCTCCACCCTGCTTTCTCTGTTGGGAGGTTCCCTTACATAGAGTAAAGCAACAGGGCTTCCCAGTCAGTGTTCCAAGGGAGAGAGGAGAGTAAGGTTAGAATATTTATTTTCCTCCTCATTCCCTGAGATGTCATCTTGAGCTGGCTTGTGCCCCCTCACTGAATGTCACAGTTTCTCATAATAGTGCCTGCTCTACGCAAATGTCTCTCCTGCTCTCAGTTCCAGTTTACACCCTACATAGCTTTGTTTAATTCTGATCTTAGGGGTGGTTACCGCTTAGCTGCTAATAGCCTTGGGTTCCTGCACCATTCCTTAAAATTTCCATTCACCAGTGGTTCTCAAAGTATATTCCATAGACCTGCAACATCAGTATCACTTTCAAACTTGTTAGAAATGCAAATTTTCAGGTCCTACTCTAGACCTACCAGGTCTGAAACTCTGCAGTGAAACCTGGCAATCTCTATTTTAACAAGGCTTTCTGATGAGATTCTGATGTTCCCTGAAGTTTGAGAATCATAAGTCGTTTTGTGAGTAAACCCTGCTCAGGTATCTTCATTTGAGTGTGCACCTGTTTTCTGTTGAGACCCTGACTGGTGAAGCTTTTTATATTTTCGCTTATCCTGCTCTCTCCAA